GATATATTTGTCCAAAAATCTGTGATAGAAGTACCTTTGGGTAAACTACGTTTAATCTAAAGTTTATGATAGCTTCTGGCTTGCTCTGAATGCTTTTCAAAACAAAAGAAAATATATATTAGGGAGTTTTCATAAATGACAGTGGTCTTACTTTGCCAACAAGAGCAGGAATGTTCATTGAATTTGTTGCAAATCCCATGCCATATGTCATAGCAGCTTCTACTCCCAAGAACTTTGCTACAAGTTTCTCTAGTTCTTCATGCTTGTCCAGGTTTCCTGTATGAAGAAGTTAAAGTCAATATGACAAAATCCTGAAGAATTACTCATACTTTATAAAAATAAATCACAGTCTATGTGTTACGACCTTTTCAGACTAAGATCTGTGAAGGAGTCAGTATCATGAAGAGTGATGGCTCATAAAGAACACAACAGTTGAATAAATTTGGATTTAGTACCTGCAGTGGAATTGCTGCAAAGAAAGTTGCCAATAATTTCTCTCATTCTTGTTTGTGCATGCCAATTCCAGGGTAGACCTTAAGAAGCCTAGCAAAATCTGTTTTTATACTTTTTGAAGTCAGCTGCTATGTAAAACAGTCTAACTGGCCTACTATAAAGAGAGAACATGTGGAGAGAGAGGGGCTCTGGGCTCTGGAGGATAAGAGACTATGGAAAGAGGGGAGAGAGAGAAGTTAGGGGAGATGTCTACCCAGCCCTTGGCCCCACCACCCAGCTGAGGTGTAGGACACTTGAGTTAAGCCCTCTTGGATACTCTATCCTCAGTAATAATGGCCCACCCAATACCACATGGAGCTAAGATAGCAGAATCAACTAATTATCTGTTGTTGTTTTAAACCACTAAGTTTTGGGATGGTTTGTTATGCAGCAAAAGACAGGTAAAAAGCACATTCCCTTGCTTTGACCTGACTGGTAAATTTGTACTATAATTTTACATTGGCATTTAAATCCTTTAGGACTAGACGACACGCCAGAGAAAAAAGATGCTGAGAAAGAAGAATGCTGAACTTGGATGCTTAAGTTTATGCCTTAAGGCTAATCAAATCACTTAGAACCTCTCTGAGCCTGTTTCTTATCTGCTAAATACCAACAATAATTTTCTTATCTGCCTCATGACACTGTTGTGAAGATCAAAAAAGATACCATGTTCAAGCACTTTATAAAATATAAAGCACCATAAAGATATAAGGTATGCTTACTATATGTTGTCACTGCACAATATTCCCCTAACTACATCATTAGATGAAATGGTCTGTGATTTCTGAAGTATTAGTTAGCTAGAGTCTGTTTTAAAGATGAGGGGATTAAAATGTTCTGCTCCTGTTTTCCTGTTGAAAATCATAACAAAACTGGAAGAACAAGAAATAAAAGCACAAAATTCCATTTTTATTAATTAGTAGATACTTGCAATCCTAAACACAACTAATGAAAATGGAAAACATCTAGAAGGATGGTGTTATGGGTTGAATTGTGGCCCACCAAAAAAAATTCTGAAGTAACCCCAACACCTCAAAATGTAACATTTGGAAACTGGGTCTTTACAGAGATAATCAAGTTAAAATTAGCTTATTAGGAAGGTGCTAACATCCTTATAAAAAGGAGAAATTTGGACACAGAGATAGACATACATAGAGGGAGTACCAAGGACAACAATGTTCAACACACAGGAACATAGCTGTGTGACTGGAGTGCTGCATCTACGAGCCAAGGAATGCCAAGGATTGCTGGCAAAACAGAAGCTAGGAAAGATTCTCTGCTAGAGCTGTCAGAGAGAACGTGGCCCTGCTGACACCTTGACCCCATACTTCCAGCCTCCATTATTATGAGACTATAAATTTTTATTGTTTTAAGTCACCTAGTTTCTTCTTTTCTTTTTTTTTTTTTTTTTGAGACAGTCTCACTCTGTTGCCCAGGCTAGAGTGCTCTGGTGCCAGCCTAGCTCACAGCAACCTCAAACTCCTGGGCTCAAGCGATCCCCCTCCTGCCTCAGCCTCCTGAGTAGCTGGGACTACAGGTGCTCACCACCACGCCTGGCTAATATTTTCTATTTTTA